CTGCGGCGGCGGGCAGCCCAGCGGGCGGCGGAGCGTCTGCGGCAGTTCCTGCTGCCCGGGGCGGGCGTCCTTCCTCCGCTCGCTGCCCGCGAGTGTTTGTTATTTGATCTCTATCCTCTGCCCCTACCAGGTGTCTGGGCTGCTGGGAAGAAACGCTCTCCTCTTTCCCACGCTCCGACACATGTTAATGAATTAGCGGGAAGCCCCGCCCCGCCGCCCTGCCTGGAGCCTTTAAGGTGGCCGCGGACTCCCGGCCGGTGGCGGCTGCGCGGCGCCTGCGTCTCCTTCCGAGGAGCCCTTGTGGTCGGCGCCGCTGCCGTGGCTGCAGCCTCCGTCTTCCACGGCGGCGGTCGCCTCCTCTGCGCCCAACTTTCGCCGCTTTTTCTGAAGCTGCTGCTGCTTCTCGGCGCCGATCAGCGCCTCCACGGAGAAGGCGTGCGCCTTGAGGCTGAGCATGCTGCACGGCGACCCCCTCCGCTTCTCGGCCATCCCCGCCGCCCGCCGCAGCCCGCCCCTCGCTCATATACACTCGCGCGGGCACACGCACACGCCCGCTCTCCTCCCCCACCCAAGTGTGCCCGACTCTCGGGGCTCCAGCAGGCCGAGATCTGCCCCCTCCCCGCCTCGGGCACAAACGAGTTTTGCGCTTCCTCTTTCTCGCTTCTGTTAGGGTCCGAGGAACTAGCGACGCGCCGCCAAGCTCCCTTCCCTCGGCCTCTCGCGCGCGCTTCTCTCACTGGTGCGCTCCTTCACCCCACCCCTCCACCTCCTCCGGCCGCTCCAAGATCTGCCTCGACTGATGCGCCAGAGAGGACTAACATGGGCAAAAAACACTGCGGACACAAATTAGGGATTGTAATTGAAATTTGTTGCCTTGATCTGTCAGCACTTCCAAGCAGGAGAGCGGCGGGAAGAACTTGCTCATTAGCGTCAATAAAGCGGCAGGGGCGGGGTCCGAAGCCTTGTCAATCACCCGCAGGACTGACCAATCCACAGCGCCGACCCCACGCAGCCCGCGCCCACTTCCTTACAAGGTCGCAAAAAACTGAGAGTGAAAAGCGCCGCCGTCTGGCTTGTAAGCGCCAGCTGCGGGCGCCTGAACCCGACGGTCTCCCAGCCTCTGGCCGTTTCCAGCCTGAGTCTCCGGCTTTCCTCATCAGGACCTGGAAAGGCCGACACTCCTGGCTTTAAACCAAGACGTTTGCCAAGTTAGACTATCAAGCATCCGTCAAGAAACCTTAAATTCCGTCCCACAACCTTATCATTTAATAATGCTGCGACGTATTTTCCGAGTGGAAAGAATTCACAGCCTCTAGGCCATCTTTCCTCATTTAAACATTGCAGCATCTATTGGAGTATCGCTGGCTCTCAGCTGGCATGGCATTAGGCTTATTTCGTAAAGTTTTACTCCTTGGATTTTTCTTAGGGAGAGCGGGGGAATTGAAGATGTATGTATGTCCCTTATATTTAGGAGAGCACGTTTTTACGTTATTGCTCAGCTAGTCAGAAAAAGTACGTGCTTTCCGGAGCCGCTCTCTTTTTTCGAAAGATGAGCGTTCATTTTCAACGTAGGCGAGTATAACAGTCTGACCCTGTATGTCTTTAATGTTGAAAACTGCGCGAAGTGAAATGAATTTTAAGATGCAGTAAAATTTTTCATTGAACTTTTTAAAATGCGTGTAATTTTACGTAACGTCATATTTGTCCTGAATTTGACAATGCACCACTTCTTTTCTCTGGTTCTTAAAGAACCAACTGTTTCTTTTAAACAAACAAATAATTTTAAACGTTTAAATGGAATAACATTAAACATGTCTGTACAGTTTGTCTTGTAGTTTCCATTCGACCTTTTGTCGGGATTAACAAAAAAAAATTGGCTTGTGTAAATAGAGCAAATCTCTTGTGAACAAATCATAATTCACATTACTTTTAAATCTTCGGTTTATATAAACTACTAAAAGGCGCCCCCACCCCACCGCCTTTATTCAACTCAACTGCCACAGCCGTTACTGTTCTGTGATCTCTAACTTGTGGGTTTTCAGTAGAGAATAGCTTCCCCATCATGATTTGTGTTTATCCCAGTGCAAAGGAACACTCAGTTGCTCCAAGGCCACCAGAAAAGCAGGAACCAGAGCAAGCATGCCCACAGGCACCTAGCACCCTCCGAATGACAGGTTCCGAAGTCCCGGGGTCAAAACAAAACAAAAACGACCTGGTGATGCATGAGAGGCAACTTTTAAACCATTGAGAAACAGATTCCTCAGGAAAAAGTTGTTTTGCATTTGTGCAAGAAGACTTTGCAAAAAGCCTGGAACTTGTGGACCCGGACCGGGTCTGTACCTCGCCGCTCCACAAGCGGGTAGTGAAGCCTTAAAAGTGAGAGTGAAACGTGTTTCTAAAGACAGGTAAAGGGTGTGCGTGGGTTTGCCAGAGCAAAGAGGCCGCCTCTAGCTTTGGGGCCTCCAGTTGGAGTGGGATGGAAGAGGAGAGTGGAGGGAGGGAGATTGCGGATTTGCAGGAGGCTGTATCCGTAGCTCCGAGAGCTCCGCGAGGCAGGAGTATCTGAAACCGGAATTCGCAGCTTGCTGGTAACCCAGCGCCCGGCTCCAGGCCCAGGTTCTTCGTGACCCGCAGGAAGAGCAACCCAAAACACAGTCGAGCCTACCTTGCGGCCCTGGCGATTTAGAGGACAGGAGACTGAGGCCCACAAGACTGTTCGGGCCGGCGGCTGGGGAAGAGCAAGCAGCTTATTTACAGAAATCCAAGGCCGCCCGGGACAAACGCGTTTCCAGATGCAAATACTGCTTTGTAGACAAGCTCAAGTCGTTCTATTTGTCCTGCAACTTAAGCTGAATTAAAGAGGATTACACCGCCCCAAGACCTCTTTTATTTCTTTCCCACTATTTCTCTTTTTCCTGGGGTTTCAAGAGCAGCAGATCGCTGGACGCCGGGACACCCGCAGACTTGTGTTCTATGCTCTACATGTTAGAAAGTCGGGGCCCAGACACCCAAGATGTCAAACAGAACTTGACCCTTAGAAATAACCAAGGTGTGCGCCGAGCGACGTGGTCTGCGCTAATGTCCCGTCTCCCTTAATGCAGATCCAAACTGGTTTGAAGGAGCCTTACTGATAGAGCCACAGCGCCACTCGCGCCTCGGGCTCCTTTATAATCCAGGCTTACGCTCTGCAATCCGAAAGAGCTAACTAACTGGCCAGATCTGGAGGGAGAAGCAGCGAGTCACTGACTTCAGCTCACATAGAGCTTTGCTCCGGGAGGGGACAGGGCATGAAAACTCTGCCAGGCACGGACAGGAAGAAAGGCACGAGTTGGCACACAGCCTTAGAAATGATGGCTAAGCCATCGTCCTAACGAGGCATTTTCCCCAAATATGGCATGTGCTTGTTTGGGCCCAGCCCCAACTGGTCGTGAATTGGCCAGAGGAAAGGTCATGGAGGTGCGTGCGCAAGTGCCTGCATGTGCTTGTGTACGCGAGTGTGCACTTCTCCATATGGCGTGTGGGCTGGATGCGCATGCACTTGGGTGGGGTCTATCTACAGGCAGAACACACCTCTTGTCATCTGGGGAGGGGGGAGTGTTTTTCCCCAATATAAACTATGGTAAAGTAAACAAAACAAAATTAAATTGTCAGGCCTCCTGCACGGATAGCCTTTATTGCAACTTTACTTCAAATAAAAGTCAACCCTGAAAGAACTTTATGGGTGTGTCTGTCTCAGGGAGTCGGGGGTGAGAGGACAGAAAAGGCAGAAGAGCCTTGTGTGTTATGATTAGTACCTAGTGGAATCCGTGTCCAGCCAGAGAGCAAAATTAACAGGGGCAAAACGGAGCTTTTAAAAAGCATATACAATTTCTCCTCTTTATTTTTCTTGGTGCACTTTAAAATTGGACAGTTCCGAAGGACTTTTTAAAATAAGCACTCTCTGTTGACTCCCTCCGCTTTCAGCCTACAGCCTATTTATACAGTACCTCCAGCCTATTTATACAGTATATGCTATATGTGTATTTAGAGAGAGCCTACTATTTCATACAACTTGGATTTTATTTATTCATAACCATTTGTTTATTTTTGAATCAAAATTTAAAATAATTCTATAGGTAGTCATTTTTTCCCTTTTTCTCTTACCCTTTGACAATCCCCTTCAGAGTTTCTCTCTCTTCTGTTTGATTTTCCAGACTCAACGCCTGATACAGGGAGGTGAGCCCTGGCACACAGTCTTTTCTTGGTCCCTGACCGCCAGAAGCATGGGGTGCGGTGGCAATTTCCAAAGAGGAAGAATCCTCACTTCCCCAGGTATTAAAGGTCATTTTTATTAGCTAAAAGATTAACCCTGAGAAAAGATTCTGAAAAATACAGGAAAGTGGGGGTAAGCAAGGATCCATTTTAAGCACCAAGAATCATACTATCTGGTTGTAATCTGGAAAAAAAAAAAACTCCATTCTAACGGACAATCTTATATTTCAGGGGTCTCCTGAGTCTCTCTCCTCTCTTCTTTCTCCTATCTTTTCCCACTCCTTCCTTTCCTTTGCAAGTCCTCTTCCCCTCTGTGCCTGTGATCTGGGATAATAACAAATAACTTATGACTTACAACGACTAGAAAAATAAAGTTTACAAAGTCTAGGAGAATAAATTCAGACGTTGGCAAAGCTGGAACTCTAGCGACTCTCCTTCCTGCTAATCTCTAGCTACAGCGGCAAATCCAGGCCCAGAGGAGAAATCAATCCAGTACCACAATTCCTTGCTGCTGGCTTTTGTAGTGGATTTAAACACAAAGACAGCACCTCCCTCATATTGGCACATATTGGCAAAGTTTTTCATCTTTTTCTCTTGAAACAGCTAGAATCTTTCCAACCGCGATCACTTGAGACCAAGTCCGGCCACAAAATAACAGCAAAGCCCCACAGAATTGTTCTTTTGAATAGTCAGAAAGCCAAAACCCAGTTTTCTGACAGGAGTTTCCGGTTGTAATCTGGGGAAGGAAAAACAAAAAAAAAACTGATTGATTGAAATGGTTTTCAATCAATGCTCAAGTCTTTCTGGGGGTTAGGAGAGTGGTTTGGGACTGGAAAGGAGCTGAACAAGTGTACTCTGAGGATGGTCTGGTCTTCCTACCTCACTCCCATTCACTTCCAAGCACTACAATTTAGGGCGCTCCAGCTTCTCCACTCATGTCCAATTTCCAGCAGTATCTGCTCTGTCTCCAGAAGATAGGACGTTTTTTAAATTCTGCTCGGGAAAAATTATGCCATCTCTTTCTCATTCATTGATCCACATTAGTCCCTTAGCCCTACAGAAATGACCAAGAAAGGCGTATCTATTTCTATCACTAATATCTGATCCAAATATAAGATGATTTGAAAAAGGTAATGAAATTAGCATCCAGAGAGGAAATGAATAATTGAAATGTTAGTTGAACATTGCAGTACCAATATTACATATGATTTGGACATAAATCTAAATGAAATAATGGA